CAGCCCAAGCAGACCTAAGACAGCAGGATTTGTACATATTATATGTATATACACATACATGCATACATATTATATATATGGGGTGGGGGAGGAAATATTTCCGTATGTTTCTTACTAATTTTTAGAAGTTATTTATTCCGGACTTGGATTCTTGGCCAGGTATATGCTTTGTGTTCTGAAATTTCACATATATTACCTTGGAAGGTTTTTTTGCTTAGTTTCTTCAAAGACTAAATTTAAAGGAGAAAAGAGTGACTTGATTTATAGAGTGAAAGACAAAAACAATAACTTGCAAACAAAACTGAAGAATGCCTTTATTATCATCTGACTTTGTCAAGCTCTTCTAGTGAAGAGTATATGTAGGAATCTTTCCATGTGGCTTTTGTAATCCAGGAACAAGTGACATTTCAGTGATGCAAAATACATAGGTATGTACGTTTTTAAGGTGGTTATTATTTGTTATAAGCAATGGAGTTTGGAGGCACTCTTCCTCCCTGTTTTTTTTTTTTTTTTAAGTGAAAAAATTTTAAATTTACTCTCAAGGGAAAAAAATATAACAATAACTATCCTTTTTTGAGCACATAGTGTGTCAGATGCTGTATTAAGCACTTTATATTCGTTATCTCATTAATCTTAAGACAATCCTTGTGAGGTGGTGATTACTATTTCTGTTTTAGAAATGAAGCAACGAATTCAATGAAGCTTAGTAATTTGCTTATAGTCACTCAGCTAGTAAATAAATGATAGAGGCAAGATTTGAACTAAGGACTGACTCCAAAAGCTAGTTCTTTTCCATTGCCCTTCCTATTTGTCTGTCCTTGAACGTAAATAAAAATTTCTTTATACAGATATGTACTTATACAGAATTTCATGTAAACACGTGATTATATACTTATTTGTTTGTTTTTAAGTGTAGTCTTTTATTCGACCATTCTTCTTGTGGTAGACATTTACTTTGTTTCCAGTTTTTAGCCGCTAAATGGTGTTTTACTGAATCCTCACATGTGTTCTGAATCTTACTTTTATGGAATAGAGTCTCAGAAGTGTGATTGCTGGATCAAAGGATAATACATTTTTTAAACTAGTTATTCGCTTTTCATATTTAATTGTCTACCGTCCTGTTTGCTTCTCTGAAAAGCTGTAACAGTTCACAGTTCCACCAGCAATGTAAGACAAAAGTATGTTTTGACTCATATTCCAAACAGTATTAGTTACCACTGTATCTAATTTTTGCTATCAGTGGGTATAAGTGATGCCCGCATATCTTTTTTAGCTTGTAATTCCCAGACTACCAGTAAATTTGACCAATTTTTTCTTCCATGAATTACCTCTTCATATTTGTACATTTTTCTATTAAGGTTTTTTAAGATGTCAGTTTCTAAGCATTCTTTATATATTATGTATATTAATCCTTTGTATCTTTATTATACATATCTTTCTAAAATTTTGATTTTTTTGTTGACTTTATTTATGGTTTCATGCCATACGAAACGTTTTCGGTTTTTATGTAGAAAACTGTGCCTTAGTTAAGATCTTTTCTACTTCTAGATTTTGTAAATGTAATTTCCAAAATTTTCTTGCAAGATTTTTTTTGTATGTGTTATATTTTTACATCTTTAATCCATCTGGAATTAATTTTTGCACATGGCAAATGATAGTTGTCCAATTTTACTTTTTCCCAGATGGATAACCTAGTCATGCTCCTTCTGTTTTCCTGTTGAATAGAACTATCATCTTGTTATAGCTTAAATTCTTGTATATACTGGGAATGATTTCTAGATTGTTCTGTTTATTGATCTGTTTGTGTGTTTCTATATTAGTACTGGTTAAAGTGGCTTTGAGTTATGTTCTAATATCTGGTAAAGCATGTCTTTTTCACTGTTTTTTATTTTTAAAACCTATTCCTGCATATTTAATCTTCCACATAAACTTGAAAATCTTCTCCAGGCTTACCACCACAGCCACCCTGTAAAGTTATAGGATTCTAATTTGAATCACATTTAATTTACATATTAATTTAGGGTTTAAGTTATATTGTTATAATATGGTATATTTTCCCTTTTGTTCAGATCTTATTTTAAGTCCATTAAAAACTTCAAAGTTGCCTTTGTGTATGTCTTATGCCTCTCTCCTGTTAAATTTATTTCTAAGAATTATCTTAGAGTGTTCTTGCTATAGCAAATAGAATATTTTTTTCAATTTCTATTTCTAGGTGCTAATTGCTACAATAC